TTTTTTTTTTTTTTTTTTTAACTAAAGGTGTCTCTAAATCACTAAATTGCCCAGGTGTAGTTCAAACTAAGCAGTCTTCCTGCCTCAGTTTCGCAGAGTGTGTATGGTATGTTACTCTTATCTAGGATCACCTGACTTATTACCCATTGATCAACTTTACTACATCTCCCCCTCTCCCCCAAAGTATATGTTCTGATAGCTTTTTGATAAATTCAAGATATGAATTTGTTGTCTAGGGCTATCTTCTCCTTATTAAAAATTATCAGACTTAGTCATTTTTATATTGCTCACAGTACAATTATTTGGAGTTTCTTCTGTGTCAGAGAAAGTCAAATAGGATGTCAAATAGGTAACCACTTTGTGATGTTTCTCCAGCATAGCATCATGTTTCATAAAATTTTGACTTGCAGCAAGTTCCTTCTAATGTAAACTGGGAATTTATTAATGAATTTAAAGGAGAATTCAAGTAGCAAGTAGACTTCCTTAAGAAACTCTCCCTTTTCTATTCCCATGAATCCTGGCTAATAAAAGAGTAAGGCTGGGGACAATTGGGATCAAGGTAGAAACTGCAGGGCTTTAGACGGTGCGTTAGGCAGAGACACCCTGTGGGCAAAACTTGATACTACCAGGCTAGTTTTGAAGCACAAGGGTTTTTTCCCCCAAAGTGACTATAAAGATCCTCTCTAAATACCCTCATTTTAGAAAGGAGGAAACTCAGGCCTGAGGTCTTTGAAAGTCATACCCAATTAGTGATCTTCATTAGTGAGCTTCATTCAGAGCTCTTCCCAACAGAGTGCCCTGCTCCTCTGTAAGGCACTTCTATATAAATCTCCACTCTGCATGAGTATATTTGAAGAATTCCATTTTTACAGAACATTTAGTTCCCTATGTTTGGGGTTATTATTGAAATCAGGTCACAAAGATGCAAATATTGCAGTGTCTTGGGACCCAGTATCTCAAGGCATTGACAAAATTATTTGCTTCTTTTGGAAAATGCAAGCTTAAAGATCTGAAAACATAATAATTTGTTTCTTTCTTAAAAGTTAGTCACTATAATAACCTGACAACAATCTGTCTGAAAACAGCTGCCAAGTTAAAAATTAATCTCTTGCCAAAATAAATGTCATTTATTTAAACTGCTAATGATAAGCCCATTTAAATAATTCCATTTGCAAATCCTTTCAGAGGACCCACTACAGAATATATGTCCCAGGCCAGACGCATGATCATAATTAGGTATAAACAGTTCTTCCAACTGTAGTCATCTTCAGCAAGTGCAAACTGGTCTACTGGGCCACTGGTATTTGGAGAATGTTTTAGACTTTTATCCCAGCTTTACCTTTTAAATATTGTGAGTGGTTACATTATACATGGGTCTGCGGTTTTGTGGCATAGAGTAGATCCCATGACTGACTTGTTTGTAAGAGTGTAACTAGAAGAAGCCTTGCTTCTGGTTAAGCAAAAGCCTAGAATTAAACTGACCTCTTGGTCCTCCTCCCTCAGGTTGTAGGTGAGAAATATCTTGAGGAGTCAATGTAAAATTTCTGAGGCTGTACCAGGTATGGACAAAGCCTGGTATTTGACTAGACACAGCATAGCTTCAGAGGTACTGAAAGTTTCACCACTGTAAAAGCATCCCCAAGACAAAAAAAAAAAAAAATGAATATGCATTTCTGTGTCTTATGTAGAAAAATAAAAATTCTTGTTGGAAAGAAGTTCACTAGATATTAAATGTGAATTCGTTTTTTAGCATCATTATCAGTATAGCTTGTGTAAGAGTATGATAATGTCCTGGCAAGAACATTAGCTTCACTTGTCACCTGTCATGGGTAAAAGAAGGAGCACTGCACAAGGATGAATACGGAGGACCAGGAAGGAAGGTTTGGGTCTTCTTTGAAGATGTAATTCAACCACTTCATAGTGTTACCGTGGATGAGACAAAAGCTAATCTTAATCTCTTGCTTCCTTGTGGATACTATAACTTGTTCTTTTTTTTTTTTTTTCTGCTCATTGTGCTTGAGCAGGTGGTCTGCTGCCAGAGGACAATTTTACAATAGCTTGACTTTCAAGATTGTTTATTCATTCACTCAGTGTGTGTTTACTGAATGCTCACTATGTGTAAGGAATTAGCCAAGCTCTATTCATTATAAGCAGTTTCCAACCAGAGTTCACTGGAGACCCCATGAAACCAAGGATCCAGTCCTGTGTGATGGCCTTGGGTCCATTTGGGCCCATTTAACCAGCAGCCTCCCCAGCCTCAGCAGTTGATGCCACCACCTTGGACTCCCTTGTGTGCTGTAGACACTTGAAGCTGGGTGGCATGTTTAAAAGAAAAGATGATTTGGGCTGGGTGTTTAGCTCAGTGGTGCCACCGCCTGCCTGGCAAGTGCAAGGTCACAAGTTCTAGCCCTGGTATCAAAAAAAAAAAAGACCACTGGGTTTGGATTTGTTGAATTCCCTGCCACAAATGACCTTTAAAAAAAAAAAAAAAAAAAAAAAAAAAAAAAAAAAAAAAAAAAAAAAAGAGTTCAATTATTTGATTTATTATTAATGACTGACTTTATGATTGGTCTAAGATGTCTTTAAAACCAAATGTACATTTAAAACAAAATTAAAGTAATTCAGTATGACAAGGGCCACTGTAGAGAAGTAGTCTGAAGAGCCCATGGTTTTTATTGCAGGCTGATTTTGTGTGATAGCTACTGGGTACAGTAGTGAGTAACTCACTGAAAATAGGCCTTCTTCTAAGGAGGAGTACTGGAGTTTCATTTGCTGTGTGTGCTGACTTTTCCCTGGAGCCCCTTCCTTTCTTGTTTTCAGAAATTCTGTCAAAACACTTCAAGTGAAAGGAAAGGTTTCATTTCCTTGATAAGTATGCGGGGCAATAATGAAAGCTTTCCCATTTAATAATAAGCATTCAAAAGATTTGAAATTAATAAAATCTTTCACAATTCCTAGACTGTTTAAAAACTGTTACTTTAAAACTTACTTTGAATTTTATTGCAAGTGGATGGAATCTGCCAAGCTTTATGTATTTATTGCTTTCACAGAACCACCCACTAAAAAAATTTCTCTGTAATCAAATGCCCAACAATAGGAATTGGTTGAATAAAAACTAAAGAATCTATTCAATGGAATACCATGCAGCCACTTGAGTAGTGAGGCAGCGTATATGTTAGGTTTAAGCAGATGCCAGAATACTATCCCAAGCATTAAGTACAGAAAAGAACTCACAGCATAGCGCTTATAATATATTCTCACTCCCCCACACACATATTTATGGGAAATCTAGAAAGTTCCTGGAAACCCCTAAAACTGTTTGACATCAGAATGGAGCACATAGATACGAACTCTAAATTCTTATTTTATGTATCTTTTGGTCCTGTTCTAATGTGTTGGGTTTTTTTTGTAAACAGACCTGGCTCTTATATTAAACGAGTAAAGTAAACTGTCCTTCCTCTCATCCCATACCAGCCAGCTTCTATCTTTAGGGCTTCTCTGCATTGTGCCGTGTACTATTCGCCAACACTGTTTATGAGACATTTCCCACAGTGCTGTGGGTTACTTTCAGACATAGGTGTCTCCTCCAGAGTTTGAGGGAATGTGGAGTTCTATAAAGAAATGGTTCTACTTATTCTTCCGTATCACTGATACTGGCCTTATTTGGGCAGGCTGGAAATAGCTCCTCTGAGCAAGAAGCTCAGCTGGAGGTAAGTGAGCAGCTGTCTCACCGTCTCGTGGAGAGTCACTGTGGTGCAGGCGTCTCCTGAGAGGACTATATTCAGGTTGTAGAATGGTGCATTTAAACGCTCAAACAAGTCCTGGCTTCTCTCTGCTGAGATCCAAACATAGGTGCTTCCCTATTGGTTGAGCAAAAAGACAGCATGTTAGTGTCACCACCAGGAAACTGACCCTTCTGTTCAATATATTTCTGTTGCTCCAGTGGTCATGCTCACCTATATAGGATTCCTTAGTTAGGCCCCAGCTGACACCTTCTCCAGGCAACATGGCAAACCTAAAAGACAATATCTTCTAATAGTTTCCTGTTGGCCATTTAAGAAATGTAGATGGATAGAGACTAAAGATACCTGTCTCCAGTTTCTTTCATGTATGAAGTAGAATTACTAAGAACTGCCTCTGCTTAGACATCCTTAATAACCCTGAACTCACTCACCAATTTAGTATTATTTGTATGTAACTTTAGGTAAGTATGTGACATAATGAATGAAATCAGACAAGACCAGTTTAAGGTATATATTCTCCCCTCTGTTTGGTATATTACCTCAAGACAATTATTTAACCTTTGTGAGACTATGAAATTGGAATCATAAGTTGTATATAAAAATATTTTAATAGAACAAATGAAATAAACATACAGAGCAGTACCTCACCTCACAAATCATTCATTCTACCATTCTGGAAAAGACGG